ACGCCACCCCCTTCCCCCCGCGTGGCAGCCTCGCTCTTTAATCTACAGTGGCCAGAGGGCCCTCCCCCGGGGGCCGAGCCTCCCACACCTGACCGGCAGGGCAGCGAGTGGCCAGGAATGGCCATGGTGCCAGATGGACTCACGGTGACCCAGATCCCTGGGCCCTTACAGGCCGGTGGATTGTCACCTTTGGGGAAAAGCCCCAGAGCCGTTTTTCCATGAAATCTAGGAGGAGCCCCAATTAGCCCAACAGAGAAAGGTGATCATGGGGGTGCCTGGCCACATCAGACCTTCAGGCCAGGGTGGCAGGTCCTGGGGGCCTCCGGGCAGGTGCACTCACCTCCCTGGCCTCTTCCTCCTGGTGAGATGCACATGAAGGGAGGTTCCAGGTTCTGAGATTATTGGGAGGATCCAATGGGGTCCCGCGTGGGACACATCAGAATAGATGGTGGCCAGGCGGTGGGCCCCAAGGCTTTCTAGGGGTTGTAATTTTCTCCCCACCATTCTCATGAAAATTTTCAAGTATTAATCCAAGTTGAAAGAACGTCGTGGTAAATGCCCGGCCTCCTCCGTTCACGTCTTGTGCCGTCCCCCCAGCCCTGGTGCCGTCTGCTAGTGGACGTGTTGTAGTGAATTGCGGACATCAGTGCAAGTGAGGGTGCCCGTCATGAAGTCACGATTTGTTTAGATTTTTATATCTCAGGCTCGCACACAGTGACATCCTGGGTGCGGTTCGCTGAGTCACGACAAACGCTTGCACCGGCCCACACCCAAGCCCTGTCCAGATACAGCCCTTAACCATCACCCCAGAAGGTTCTCGAAAGCTTCCACTCGGACCCTTCATCCTCCCCGGGGTGTCAGGGCCCCTCGGGTCTGCCCGGGGTCGGGGTAGATCCTGGCTCTGAGTCCTGGCCTCCTGACTCCCGGCCGCGTTCCGGAGCCCGGCTGGTTTGGCGGCTCCCGTTTCGGGGGCGCTCAGGGAACCTGGAGCCCGCTTTCCCTCCCATCAGGTCAAATATCAAGCCAGACAAAGCCAACGCCAACCAGCACAGCTTCCAGATGTACACGTTTGATAAGACCACCAACTGCAAAGCTTGCAGGATGTTCCTCAGGTGAGGGCCTCTCCCAGCCCCCGAGGGAGCCCGCTGCTGCCTCTCTCCTGTGCCCCCATCGCCGCCGAGCACCCCTAGGCCAGCGCTGTGCTGGGCCCCAGGGACCCGGGGAGACATCCCATCGTGTGGGAGGCAGCCGGCCCTCAGGCGTTTGGGATCTAGCCGGGAGGGGAGGTGACTGTCCCCGTGGGTGCCCAGGGCCCCCTGTGGGGATGGCAGAGCCAGGGCAAGGGGAGGGCCAGCGCCAGGCTGCGCATCGGGGTGGGGGTCCTGGGCCCCAGGGCTTTGAGGGGTGATGCTCAGGGGGGCAGAAGGCAAGGTGGGTCTGGTGGTCCACCTCACCTCCTGCCCCTTCCCCCTCCCACCCCCGTGCAGAGGCACCTTCTACCAGGGTTACCTGTGCACCAAGTGTGGCGTCGGGGCACACAAGGAGTGCCTGGAGGTGACCCCTCCCTGCAAGATCAGTGAGTACCCATCGCCGCCCTCCCCGTGGGGCACGGGCCCTGGGGGCTGGCCCTCAGGGTCCCACGACACACCCCGAGCCGAGGGTCCCGTCATCCCTCGCAGCTGCCGGCTCTGGCGGTGTCCCCACATTCTCCTTTCCTGCCATGGTGACCCCATGGGGCAGGGACCAGATGAGGAAACAGAGGCTTAGAGAGGGGAGGACACCGGCCCCGGGTCACACTGTGTCAAAAGGCCCAGCCGGAGCGGGAGCGGGGATTCCACGGCAAAGCCCTCCTCCTAACTGCATACCGGCTGGCTTCTCTCCGCCTCTTGGGCACCCCCTGCCGCGTTGCAGTTGTAAGCCTCCAGAATCTCCACCCCGCAGAGGGCACAGAACATTCCTGGCAGTTGCATGGAGGTTTCTGATCACAGAGGAACACCTCACCCCTGGGTTGCCCCGCCCTGGAGAGGCCCGGCCCTCTTTAGCTACAGCCCTGTTTGTAGATGGTTCACGTGCGTGCTCGGCACCTACTGTGCTCCCCTTTGCCTCAGATGGGGAAAGCCTGAGGCTCCTGTCAGTCGTCTTGGTTTGGGGGATGAGTTGGGGGAGGGCCCAGCCTAGAGCACCTGGGTGGGCCGCCGGAAAGCCTGAGACGGTTCCGAACGATTTCAAAGCCGCCACGGTCAGGGGCTGGCTGAGCTCTGGATCCGGGCATGGGGCACCCGCCAAGCACCACGCTGCTCGCCCTGCTTCATGGGACCCAGATGCTCCCACATCCCCGTGAAATGGGGCTGTTATGCTGACATCCACACTCAGGGGAGCTGTGCTCAGAGGGGGTTAACCACGCTCCAGGTAGACAGGGAAACATGCCAGGCCTGCTTGTCCCCCGAGACACCACCGCCCAGAGTAGGAGAGTTTGTTAATTCCTCATTTACTGTGACTGCTGGCCCAGTGCCCTGATCTGGGAGGAGGGTCCGACAGGTCAGCCCAGACCCCCTCGTGCCCCCCAAGGTCCGCCCGATGCAGCCCACTGCGGCCCGGCGGAAGTTCAGCAACCCTGCCGGTCTCCTCCGGGCCCCGACTGGCCCCGACGCAGCTTTTCGGCTTTGCCCGTGGCTACCGCCCTCTTGTGGCCATGTGTCCTTTGTGTCAAGCGACTGGACAGTTCATTTCTTTTGACATTTTTTTTCCTGATCTTGAAAGTAACATACTTCTTTATCAAAAACTTAGAGGAAAAAAAGAGGAGAAATGAAATAAAGAAGAAAATAACTATCACTTATGAACAGATTAAGGAATAACCAAAGGTGATATTCTGGTGTATTTCCTGTCAAGTTTTCTTTTTTTTTTTTTTT